AGGGAAAGAATGAAAGCTTTTATAGGGAACAAGCACTGGTGTTTATGTGCAAGAGATCAAAAAGTGCAGATGCAAAGGGAAATTATTTGGGAGAAATAAGACAGGGAAATATCAAAGAAAATATGCAGGTGAGAAGTAGAAAGGAGATGACATGAAAGAAGTCACAGAGAAATAAGCAAGCAAAGAAAAGGAAGACAGAAGAAAAACCTCTCCTTTATAAAGGAATCATTTTTGAGTTTTGTCTTACAGATAGTATATAAAAGCCGATCCCTTTTAATATCTTCTGTTTTTATGCTTTTTTTCTTCTTTTTTTACTATAAGGAACAGCTTAAAAACAAAACTAATACTTTAAATATCCTATTCCTCTCTAGTCCTTTAAAGCTGGTCATGAGTTAATCATAAATAATACAGTTCAAGAACTGCAGATCCAGTTTCTTAGAATATCAGTCCACAAAAATGAATGTAGGAAGCTTTCAAAATGGTGATAAAAAATTTAAAAAAAGAAAGAAAGACAATAGATATATAAGATTGTAATTCATAGAGTATTATTGGGTTGATCATGCTTTTAAGGTCCCTTGTAGAAGAGGAAAGGTTTAAGTAAGTGAAATAATAGCTATTAAATTGAAGTGGTTTCACAATGCATGGCTTGCCACAAGAAGAAGAGTGAGCCTTTTTAGTGGGGTGAGACTCCCAAGCAGAGCGGAACAGTGATACTAATAGAAAGAAGTTCTGAGATAACAGGGTTCCATGGTGTATGGCTCAGCAGAGTGAAGGATCTTCAGGTCAGGGCTGTATGGCAGTCTTTGCATCATTTTATAGAGAGATATACAGTGCAAGAGGCATACAGTACAAGAGTACTACTCCAGTACTACTGGAACTACTGGAGGGAGTCTGGCTATGAGGATGATCAGGGGCCTGGAACATCTGCCCTATGAGGAAAGGCTGAGGGAGCTGGGCCTGTTCAGCCTGGAGAAGGCTGAGAGAGGACTTGTATTCCTGTATTTGAGTTTGTGCTCAATGCATCTTGTCCTGCAACTGGGAAGCAATAAGGAGAGTCTGGCTCTGCCTTAGTTTCAATCTCAAAGAATTTATTTATGTGCTAGTTCATGTTCTTGCAGTAATAGAGATCTGAAGATGCGAGGCATATCAAGGGTATGGTACTATGATTTAATGTTCGAATTTTACCTGAAAATTTTCTTGTTACCAAGAAACTAAATCTGCTGCATATACAGAGGTAGCAATACATCTAAATGTGGAAATCTTGGTTTCAAAAGGAGGTTGCCATTTTGGAATGTGCTGCTTCTGCATGCAGATACTCTTGCTACAGAACCATATGCTGAGATTTGCTCATGGGAATTTCATAACTATTTGTAATTTAAGGATCTCTCGAACATACATTCTCTGAGGTTCCATTCAGGAATGTTACCTTGTCACACGGAAGGGATGTGCCTTGGAGACCGCTCTGGGGACTAGGTAAACACAGTCTCAGGAGAGTGACAGAAGAAGAAGAAAAGGGGAAAAATAGCAATAACAGGCCAAACACTGCTTGGATGCGTAAGTTGAAGAAGACAGGATTGCCTTTTTGGGTGATACTCCGCTCATTTTATCACCAGATCATAAAGGTTACTTGCAATTGCTCATCTCAGGACTGTTTTTCATTAGGGTCAATTTACAGAGTGTTCCCGACTTTGGGAACAGACTGACCAGCTGATGAGCAATTGTCTCATGCTTATTAAATTGAATGTAGGGCATTTGAAGGTGTGACAAAATGAGAGATGTGAAACAGAAGAAAATGGAGAATGTCTAGAGAAAAAAACTGCTGGTGTTGTTACAAATGAAGCTAGAGATATAGTCAGCAGAAGAAGGAGGAATTTTGTGAGGATTCAGGTAGGTATACTGATTTTTCAGGCTTCTCTGAGTCATGCTTTCAAGCCCTGCCGAATCTGAGTTGCTCATCACAGTTAAATTAGATCCTCATTTCTCTACAGCTAGATTTGTTGCAGATTTTTTTTTTTTTTTTTTTTTTTTTGCTAATGTGTTTTGTAGACCGAAAAAGCTGTCTAAACTTTGGAATGGCAGATAATTGTAAGTAATCAAAAGAGAAATGCTGCACTTTGTGAATTTAGTTTGACATACACATTGTGCTCTGCATTGTTTATGTCCATAGTTATTATATGACGTGCAAAACATTTGTTATTTTTATATGAACTTCAGCAGCAATTCTTTTCACTTTTCAATTAAGAATATTTAATGTTAGGCTTAAGCAGGTATTTCAGATTTTGAAACTGTTTTGTAAAGTTCCTAGCTTGATTCTTCTGCAAAGTGGCCTACTGAGTGTGTCATCTAGGATGCTGAAAAGACTACCAAAACTTCATACTTATTTCAGGAATTGCATTTTTTTTCTCAGAGATGAAAAATGAATATAAAGTGCTTTTTGAAATAACAAATAAGGGACATGATAGGAATACTACTTTTCATATGCATTGTTTTTCCATTGTCCAGTGATTTCAAAGCACTTTGCACATTTAATTTTATTGCATTAAATTAATCTTAAATTAATCTCACTTGTTATTATTGCTGTTGTTGATATTATTATTACCTTGGAAAGATTTGTTTAAATACAAGGCACTTTTTTCTCCACATTTTATAACCAACCATCTTTTTTATTATTATTATTTCTTTTTTTCAGTTTAGAAGTATAAAGGCTTCAGAGAAGTGTATGGCTTGTCTGAAACATTCACATGTGTTTGAATTATAACTAGTTTCCTGTATTATATACCCTTGTTCTGTTCTTTCCTTTTTTGTCTCCTTTTAAGTGCTGATTTGAAGATGTTGTTTCTAATCTCATCCTTGTTTTCTCTCTTACACCGTGGCCTGAATCAATAAAAATAGGACAAATGGAGTTCACAGATGCAGATAAAGTGTGGCAATGTTTCTTCTAAAATAGAAGCTGGACTTATTTGGTGTTTAAAGAGAGATTAATCTCATAATGAAATAATTTCATTTTCATTGATTTATAGTTATTTGATATTTTATTAGGCAGAAGTGAAAGAGAATGAATAAAATATAATCATTGTTATTATATCTCCATTATATAGATCTTATCAAGAAACTCTGTAGTTTGAAGTATTTTCCAGCTACAGCCTCATTCCTGTAAAGTCTTAAGAAACTATTTGCCTTGTCTCAATGAATTGATTTGAATTATAACAGAGTTTCAGGGTCTAGAAATTAAAAGTTTGAGTTATATGCTAAATTTGAGATGTAAAATTATTAGTTATTTATTTTATGTAGTGCACAAATTTTGAGGTGCTGTGATGGTTAAAAATATATACATTAATAACACTGTGTGTCTGTAACTTCTTTTAAAAATGTATGCCAGGTTACAGTGCTTGCTCTTTGGCATTTCATAATTTTTAACCTGCCTATATACTGTTTTCCACTGATATTATACTATGATATGCTTTTTATCTATTCAGAATGAGCTAACATATTATATAAGTAACCA